AATGGATGATTGGATGAATGATTGGAAGGATGATTAGGTGGATGAGTGGATAAAATGAATGACATGGATGGATGGATGGATGGATGGATGGATGGATGGATGAAGGGATAGAAGGAATGATGCATGGATGGGTGTATGGATGGATGATTAGGTGGATGAGTGGATAGAAGGAATGATACGTGGATGGATGGATAGATGGATGGATGTATGGATGATTAGGTGGATGAGTGGATGGAGGGAATGATACATGGAAGGATGAATTAATGATTGGATGGATGAGTGGATGATGGGATAGAAGGAATGACACATGGTTGGATGATTAGATGGATGATTGGATAGAAGGAATGATATGTGAATGGATGATGGATGATTGGTTGCATGATAAGGTAGATGAGTGGATAGAAGAAATTATACGTGGATGGATGGATGGATGGATGGATACTGTATTCATCCTAAAACATAATTCATAATTCCAGCAATATTCAGAAATTAATATAAATTAAAACAAAAGCTAAATAAATACAAACATAAATACACCCATGCTCAAAAAATTTACATATATACACACCTGAGTACATATACCACTATAAACATGCACATACAGTGATACACATCAATCACATACATACTGTACATTTCATGGACATTATTTAAGAGTAAAGTAATTCATTCCTTTATAAAAATAATGCACACAATTCATTTGCGTTTGGTCAACATGAAGGAATTAAAACAATTAAGTTGTCCCAAAAACTTCAAGCATTGTGCTGTTTCAGCTCATTTTAAATAAGCAGTTTGAGCAACAAACCTCATTTTTTGTTTCCTCTATACTTAAGGAACTTATACCTCTATACCTAAAAATCTATTACATGAAAATAAAAACCACAAAAATGACACACTGTGCACCTTTAACAGCTTCTTTTGAATTTTATTTAGATTTAATTGTATTTAGGACATGGTTGTGAAGAATTAGAAATCATTCATTCATTCGTTTTCTTTTTGGCTCCCCTTCATCAATCTGTGGCCGCCACAGCGGAATGAACCACAACCTTCTTGCTGTGAGGCTACAGCACTACCTACTGTGCCACCGCATCGCCAGAATTAGAAATCACTTCAGTTAAATAAAAATATATTTCCAGGTGCAACTAGAAATGCTAAATCTCTGACAGGGCTACCAGGTCAGTTGTGATGTTTTTGCTTTAAGGGCCTACTCACACTATGCCATCCGTACCGTGCCCAGGCCCGTTTCCCGGATCGTTTGAGAAGTGTGAGTGCGCTGAATCGGGCTCAAGCACGGTTCACTTGGCCGGCCCTGGCCCGGTTGGAAGAGGTGTGCCTGAGCGCGGTACACTTGGGCTTTGGCGCGGTACGCTTGTGTGTGAGCGCGAAACGCGCCAAAGCCCGAAACCGAAAGCGAGACGTGACTTTTAAGGGACTGTTTGATATGGATTTATTAATCATTCTTACTGTTCAGTGATCGCAAACTGCCGTAGTTTATTAAAGACGCAAACTCCTCACAGCACGCCAGCTGCGCACCTTCAGCAGATCTCCTCATTCCTGCAGCACGAGAGCTTTTATTGTTTATGAGCGCCAAAAGTGGCGGATCTGTTCGGTAAAATATCTGACTGTGTGTCCCCGCATCCCTAAGGACTGTTTGGCGAAATATTTGACTGCATGTCACTGCCCAACAAACACAGTTACGTTGTAGCGATGTCTGCACAACGTTGTATTTTTTCAAAGGCAACGTTGCCGCTTACGTGCTCGCTACATTGTCACAACGTAGAAATGTAAGACGTGAGAAGGCTGTAGCAACGTTGTCGTGCGACATTCAGCAACCGCGAGGCGGCGTTCTTACTACTTGTATTAATATTTTTTGTGGCAGTTTATCAATACTGCCTAGAATACAGGATAAGCAGCAATTCTTTTCCAGTATTGCTTAATATGAAATATTGTTCATTTATTTTTCCTAATTTAATTTAACAATTGCATGTGTAAACTTTAAAGTGTAAAAATGCCACACAAATGAATATAATCAAACTTTTTATTATATATTTCACAACATTTAATACATACAGTACAAATCTAATTATAAACAAACAGTATAAAGTTTAGATTATATATATATATATATATATATATAATTAAACTAAAGGGTAAACAAACAAGAAAAGTAAACAAGAAATCATTTAAATGTATATATATATATATATATATATATATATATATATATATATATATATATATATAAATTAAAATTCAGACACTGGGCAGTGAAGCTCTGGACTGGAGAATACAGCAGACCGGGGAGCGCAGCTGAAGACCAGTCGTAGTTGTTGGTATGGAGAAAGCAGTCAGAGGAAGAAACAAATCCAACAGATAATCCAGCTTCAGAGATCCACAGCAGACACAAGTCAAAATAGGCAGTGAACAAGAGAGGACAGATGGAAACAACTATGACTAGCAAGTTATTGAAGTTTCAGACATTTATTGTAATTTCATTACATATAAAATCTCCAGTGAGTAATTATGTAGCCTACTTTATTTTATTGCTTTAATATATCATATACCAAAATTACATACAATTAAATGAATTTAGAGATACAGGGAAAACAGGTTTGAGTTAACAGAAGTCAGAGTTAGTCTCCCAATACTTACTTAAATTATGAGAAGAGAAAGAAGAGGTCCTATAGTTGTGGCGTTGCTCGCTGTAAATGGAATGTTAAAATTAGTGTCATTTCAATAACAGCTGTACAAAATAATAAAGTAATTTTTCATAAGCATGATCTATTTTCCACATTATGAACATGCTGTTTTAGGTAACGATACTACATTTATTATGATAGTAAATAGAGTAGTATACTTCTTACCTCATTCAATTATTCTTTCCATAGATCAGGAATTACAGCAACACTGATCTGAGGTGAATTCAACAGCTGAAAAAATTCTGAAAGACAAGTTACATAAGTAATTTGAAAACAACAGTGAGTGGTTAAACAATAGAGTTTTATGCAACTTACACATACTTAAAATCCAGAAATTATCAATAGAAGATTACCTCCATGTGAAAATAGCCTGTTGAGCAAAGAAAAGAGTGGGTTTTAAATAAAACATCAAAAGATAAATCAAAATAGAAATTTAGACTAGCAGACCTTTTTATTAATATCTATATTAATCAGGCATATGAACATCAACTTATATACTTTAACTTATAGGGATAGCTCACCCAAAACTGACAATTCTGCCATTTAGCCTCATCCTTTATTTGATCCAAACTTATTTAGCTTTTTTTCTGCTAAACAATAAAAAAGATGTATTAAATAAAGCTGGAAAACTGTAACTATTTAATTCCATAGTGTTTTCCTACTATGAAAGCAAATGCTTACAGTCTTTAGTGTTCAATAGAATAAAGAAACTTAAAGGTTTGGAATCACTTAGGCTATTATTTACAGGGCAAATAATTCGTGAGTACATATCATTTTTGAGTGAACTGTTCCTTTAACGGGACGCAAACTGCACAGAGATGTTTTGTATTTAAAAGTTATTTTGTG